CACCAAAGTCCACTCATGGTGTTCAGAGGGGAGGATGTGGACTCACTGAAAAATAATTTAATCTTCTACGATAGCCATAGGAATGGTTTTGTCAATATATTTTGTGAGAAAGATGCATTTGTAAAAGGAAAAAAAAAAGGAAAATGGAAAAAAATAGTAGTTCCTTCATTTCCCATCAAGGTAATTATTTCCTCTGTGTTAAAAATTCTTATGAGGGGCCTCCCTGGTGGCACAGGCAGTTAAGTGCAGCACTGTGAAGCTGTGCACAGCCTCTGCAGCACAGGTTCGAACCTGCGGCCAACAAGAATCCCACATGCCAAAGCAGACCTCTCCTGTCTTGCCCACTGCTCCCCTCAGTGGTGTATTTCAGTTCTTCTGCCTGTTCTGTTCCCCACTCTGTCTCTGGTGAATTGTCTCACCCTCCAGCGCATCTGGCCTGTGCCCTGTTCTTGTATAAAATATAAATAAATAAATCTTTAAAAAAAATCAACTCTTGTGAGGTTACCTTGTGTGCTGGTACAGTCATACCGAGGCTCTCTCCAAGGACCTGGATCACCACACAAATGGGGAGGAGTCATCGTGGTATGAAGTCTGGGCATAGACCAGAGGCACACAGTGGGGGGAGCGGCAGAGGGGTCACAACTGGGGAGGGAAGAGCACAGAGACCATAGTGATGGCCACGGGTATTGTGGTGCTGGGAGAACTACAGGGACTGTACCTGAAGGGAGAGAGCAATTATTGTCCAAAATGAACAATAATATAATAAAATAAATACAAAAAATAATTTTAAACAATTTAGGACGTGAACCATGAAACCAGATCATTGAATGTAACTCTAACTGCACCCTATTAACCTCATGACTTTTCTGGCTCACATTCCTTCCTTATAAGATATGATGAAAATAGTATCTTATAAATATAATTTAAGTTATCTGCAAATTATTTGAAAAACACTTGAAGAGCATCAGGTTATAGTTTAGTGAAGTTAAAAATTAAATGCCCACTCCTGGCACAGCAGGCAGGTCTGGGAGATTTGACTAGCTTTGGGGATAGATAAGCCTGCCTGGGGACAAGGCCACTCAACGACCACCATGACCAGAAATGCCATGAAACTGACCACCATGACCAGAAAAACAGGCCCAGTTATAGAAATGCAGAAAGCAGAGACCAAGACATGTTTCTGTGACCAAGTCCAGTTCCAGACACCAGGCATCTCAGCAGGTAACTGGTGCAAATTGGCCCCCCAAGTTAAGAAGCCTGTGAAAAGCTTTTTGTAACTCTGTCTCGGATGAATTCTTTCATACCTCACCCTTTCCACCAACTTAGGCCTCACCCTGATCTTCCTCCCACAACAAAAATTAAGAAAAACAATTCTAGGGGCTCCCTGGTTGCACAAGGGGTTAAGCACTGCACTATGAAGCAATCCACAGCCTCTGCAGCATGAGTTGGATCCCCGGCTGGCTAGAGAGCAACCCACATGGGGAAGCAGACCTCTCCTGTCTTGCCCACTACTCCCCTCAGCAGTGTATTTCAGTTAGTCTGCCTGTTCTGTTCCCCACTGTCTCTGGTGAATACTCTCACCCCCCACAACTCTGGCTTGTACCCCAGCTCTTGTATGCATAAATAAATAAATCCTTAAAAATAAAAAAAGAAAAGAAAAGCAATTCTGCCACATAAACACTCACTAAATCACACTGATTTTTCCTGAAAACCTATGTTTCAGTTCCATCAACTAACTTTTTGAAAATAATTATTGAAATACACTATGTTCAGTAAAAAATACATAAATGAATAAAAATAAAATCTTAAAAAATTGTTTTTATATTTATGCATGCAAGATCTGTGGCGTAGGCCAGAGGAGCAGGGGTGAGAGGATTTATCTGAGACAGAGTGGGGAGCAGCACAGGTGGATCTACACTGCTGAGGGGAACAGTACATGAGAAGGAGAGGTCTGCTGTACCATGCTGGTCAGCTCCATGGCTGGAGATACAACTCAGGCTGCAGCTGTGATAGTGTTATAGCACTGAGACTTAACCTGAAAAGGGTATTCTTTGCTTCTTACTGAGTTCCACTTTATCCACCTTTCTTAGGTCACTGGATATTCTCACAACTAGAAACAGTCACAAATTATATATGCATACATATGTTTGTGTATATATATGTGTATATATATATATGTATATATAAATATATATACACACACACACACATATATATAGGATGCATATACACACCCCTGTAAGACTATTTCTATATATTTCATAAAGAGTAAAGTATAGCTACTCTTATTATTTTGAGTAATTTTTGAGGCTTTATATTGTTTGACCATAGATTTAATTCTCAACAGCACTTGTTGTGTCTGATCTTTTGGATAGAGCTCTCACAGGTATCAGGTGGGATCTCCTTGTGGTCTTGATTTGCATTTCTGTGATAATGATCATTTTGTCATATACATTCTAACTGTACTTTCATTGTCTATTTTTACTGCTCTCCCCAATTTTTGGTTCTGTGAAATTTTTGAAAGTTACCTTTGTAATTCCCTTACATAAGTAAAGCACCCCTAGGTTTTTATCATTCACAACAAATATTCCCATTAAAACACAATTACAATTGGAGGATGAATGAATGATGGTGGTAATATTTTAGTCACTAGAAAGATTATATGGTTTAATATTTTTTTGATCAGTGGAAATCTAAATAACTTATTTATAAAGAATGAAATTGAATGCAGAAATTTTCAGACTGGAGAAAAGATGTTGAGAAGATAAGTTGGTATTGATTTTTGTTATAGTTATAAAAAATTGGAAAATGTAGGGATTTGTTTGGAATAATTAGTGACAAACATCATTAAACACCCATTGGTAATGGAATAATAATATTATTTTTCCCATGATAATATAAATGATATAATAAGGACATAGGGGAAAGTATACAATGTCAAGATTTATGAATCTTCTTTATAGTAGAATTTAAACATCTAAAATTGTCTTAACAAGAGCTAAGTGTTCAACATTCTGATTGCTTTGGAAACAAATTACAAGCATGGGTGTTCAACTCCTTTATTCCCAGATATATTTCAGAGGCATTTGAAAATGTAAAAAGTATATGACACAGTATAAACCCATCATCTCCTATCGTCTGGAGGTGTGTGATGAGGTGAAGTGTCTTCAAAATAGCCCAAGTGCAACAATTTCCTGTTCAAACTGCTAGTGACACATTCATGAGAATTCTACTTTTTCCATGCTTGCTTCACTCTGAAACTTCACAGGGCAGTTCTAAATCACAGATCAGAAACGACATGTGCTGGTGAGGATGTGGAGAAGAGGGAACCTTTTTACACGCTGGTAGGATGCTCTGTGGGCCAGTCCCAGTGAAAATCAGTGTGCAAGTGTCTCCTCCTTCACTCAAGGATGCACAACTTCTTCGCCAACAGAAGGTATGTGTTGCTCCTCTCCTCTCTCTCTTCTGGTCTGTCTCTTTTATTTATTTATTTATTTTTTTAAATAGAGGCACGTTTTATTTATTTATTTATTTGTTTGTTTGTTTTGTTTATACATGCACTGAGTACAGTCAGAAGCGCGGGACGGTGAGAGAATTCACCAGAGCCAGAGCAGGGAGCAGAGCAGGCAGAAGGACCGAAGTACACTGCTGAGGGGAGCAGCTGGCGGCAGGAGAGGTCTGCATGCCATGTGGGACCCTCCTCTGGTGGCCGGGGAGCAGCCGGGGATCGAACTGGCGCAGCAGAGGCCGCGGGCAGCTTCGCAACCCAGCGCTCAACCGCTGTGCCACCGGGGAAGCCCTGGTCTGTCTCTTTTAGTGGAAGTTTATGAAAGTTAGATGTGAGGCAGTTGATATACAATTCATATGCAATCAAATCAAAGAGAACATTGGTGTCTTTATTGAATAATTCAGGTAAAACTCAAGAAGAATGTGAAATATTTTGAGGATTTCTCAAAATACTTGAATTCTTTCCAGTGGCAAATTAGTCAAGGATATAACACCCATGCATAATTAGATTTGTAAATCAATGCTATTTAACTTGAAATTTCACCAGATCATGCCAAAGAAGATTTTATTTTGGAATTCATAATCAATACAGATATAATTCTATCTATTTTTGTCATTTAACTCAATCTTTTAAATTAGACACTTAAAATGAATTCATTCCATCATGAAGGTCATGGGTAATTCCTCATCTATATTCTTAGAGTCAATATAAAAGGTTTCAATGTTAATAGAAATCAAGATGAGACAGCTTCCAAAAATGCTATTTTGAATTTAAAAGTATACAAAATGCTTTAAAATAAACAAAGTAAAGTACAAGAAGTACCACACAAATAAAACAAACTACATTAAAATAATAGTTCTATTCTTTAATATTATTAATATTATATTAATATTAATATTAACTAATATTAATGTTATATTAATATTAATATAATAAGTAGGTTACATGGTATAAATACTATGACATAGGAAAATATGGTGGTTGTATCAAAATAATAATTAAAATAAGAAATGTATTATTGACAGCTTACAAAAGTCAGAGTGAGTATGATTTACATGTATTATATCTTAGATATTCCTATTTTCATTTTAGATTAGTAAACTATGAATTGAAAGACTATATAACTTTTTACTTTGTTTCTTTTTTCTTTTTATTGAGTTAAAATTAAAACATGATACTCAGTATTCAAAGTCATAATTAATTCTAGATCCCACATATTACAGTCTATTTACTGAATTACTAAAATTATGATTTTTTATTGATTGCAATTACTCACAGAACTAAGGCAACCTTCATTAACTTGGATAGTTATAGGATCTTCTGGAAGTTTTAATTAGACATGTTTAGACCAGACATGTGTTGTTCAACTGCAATATGAGTCTATCACTCAACCAATGCTCCGCCCACAGTGATCTGGTCCTATGCATCATTTATTAAAGACTGAGAAGCATTTATCACAGAGCACAGTTCCTGACTTTACAGAGCAGCAGAGATGAACCAGCAAAGAGTCACCTATGCAGAGCTGAAGCTGGCAAAGGTCTCAAAAAGGCCGCAAGTGAAACCTAAAGAGAGTAAAAGCTCCACTACTGGAACGGAGCAGGGAGTAACCTACGCAGAATTAAGTCTTCACAATGCTCTGGGGATCCTCAGGAGAATGGCAAGTCCTGTCACCTCAAAGGTAAAACATTGAGTAGACACACATCACAACTGTTCTGGGAGATGCAGAGGAGTAGAGGGGCACAAAGAACAGGGAATAAACTGACATGTTTTTCATTTGTGAGGCTCAGAATTTGTCATTGGAATATGGTATTCTAGTAGAAAAACTGATGGCTATTTTTTTCCAGGTATTGTTATAATATACAATTGTTGACGAACGACAATTCATAGGTATTTTCTTTACTAAAAAAAAAAAAAAACAAAAAAACAATGGTATATTCTGGGGGAAAGATTCCAGTGGGAGATAGAGGTCTTGAGTCACATTTACACATATGATTCCCTGTGCATGTAGATTTTGTTGTGTGTAAACTGAACACCTGTCTCCATCTGTCCTTTCTCTTCATTTCCATTTCTCTCCCTGCAGGCTTATCAGCACCTCCAGAGAAGTGCATTGCTGGCATCTTGGGATTCATCTGCCTTGTCTTGATAAGCATTATTGTGCCAGTGTGGATTAAATTTACCCGTGGGTAAATTAATGAAGGATTGTAATGGAACTTTTCACTTAATGATTGTCAATGCTTTTAAATATTTCATAATATGAAGGAATAGAACTATTATTTTAATGTATTGTTTTAATTGAATGTTGAATGGTTAATTTGATTCCCAAAAGGACAAATGGAAGAATGTTTGTAGAGATTATTTTATGTAGATTCAGATATCATGATTCAAAGTCACACTTATGGTGACTGAAACACTCTATTGAAAACTTTGAAATAATTTTTGAAATTTGGTGACTACATACTGTAAGAGATGGTGAAATTTGAATCTAAATTTTTGTGATGTTTTCCCCAAAGTTTTATGCTTTTATTAATTGTCAGGGAAAGTCAACTTTATTATATATTTACTATACATCTACCAAAATACAACATTTCTAACTTAGAAATATTAAATTGATTAGTATGTCCTTAAAACACTATTAAATTTTATATATAAGGATTATTTTATTTTTTCTAGCTCCTACTGAAGATCCAGAGAAGAAAGTTTCCTCCACAGTAACAGAGAGCCAGAAAGGTACACAATGAATGCCAAAATTCTGATGTTAGTAAAGTTTATATGATGTATATCTGTTAGACTAGGTAATAATGGTAACTAATTTTCTGTTAGAACATACATTATAAAATCAAATAATACATGTTCATGTATAGTCATAATAGGAGGGGGTTCATCATATCCAACAACAGGAATAAAATTCACTTAGAACTTCCAACCCATGTGGCCAATTGGCTCATGTCCTGCTGCTATTATGTGAATAAACAATTTTACCATTACAAATGATATTATTTACTCTTTGTCAGGACATACAGTGGATATTTTTTGTGAAAATTTGGTTCATATGAACACATACATTATAGCATGAGAAGCTGCCCTTTCTTGGTGAGGGTGTGTTGTATGCACCAGCTGTGATGTGTTTGTGTGTGCTATGTACCTGATTGTTCATTTCGGCATGTCTAGGATGTGTATTATATTATTAATCCAAATAGTTTTAGGTAATAATTTATAATCTCTCTTCAGCATGTCATTGTGGCCTTGTCCAAAGGGGTGGTTTACGTACTCCAACAACTGCTATTACTTTAGTGCTGAGCAAAAAACCTGGAAGGAGAGCTTGACAGCCTGTCAGAGGAACAACTCTCAGCTGCTCTACATAGACACTGAAGAAGAAATGGTAAGAATTTCAGTGCCCCAACCACTTTATCGAAGACTTATTCAGGTCAATTTTATACTTATACAACTCATACATATTTCCAATATATGTATATATTATGTAAATAAATGTGTATATGTATATATTATGTATATTATGTACATGTATATATTATGTATATATGTGTATACATGTATATAGGTGTGTGCATGTGTGCATATGTATTAAATAAAGATTGCTGTTTAATACACATCAACAAAGTTGAGCATATTGTGATTTGCAGATTAATCACCAAGTGAATGAAAATTATATCTGTAGAGCAGATCCTGAGTAGAAGTACCGGCCCCAGTGCACCCCAGACACCCTGTCTGCTCTCTCTTCACTCCTGCTGCCTGGTTATTTAACTACTGACTTGACTTTTAATTTTGTAGATCTCTTTTCTTCTTTATGAACCTAAATGCAATCATACGTATATACCTTTGTTCCTGTCTGGTCTCTCCCCTCTAATTCCTTGGTAATTCATCTGAATATTGCATTTATCTGCTGTTTGCTAATTTTCACTGAAGACTTTTATGATAAAACATGTTAAAACCCATTCTGTTTACATGTTAAAACCCATTTTGTCAGGGGTGGGGTGTGCATGTCACCTGCTCAGAGATAAAGAAACTCCTGGGTTCTCAATTCTCAGGGGTAGGGTCCCCTTACTTTTCCCATCTCCACCCTCCCAGCCCTGCTCATCTGTCCCAAATGGTGGGAGGAGAAGCCTGTCCCAGCTGCTGACTGTTGTCATGTCCTGAGGCATTGCCCTTGTCAGGCTGCCCTGCTTTTGCACAGGACCCCTCACCTCAGGGGGGATAGGCTGCCCTGAGCCTCCTCCTGGTGTAGGTTGGTGCTGACAGGCTGCAGGCCTAGGTCAGATTTTCCTTATTCACATAACAAGAAGAGTGAAGTTGCTAAGTATAAATGTTTAGAAGCTCATGTTATGTAATGATGATGTGCTGGTGAGAGTTTATGGCGCTATGCACAGTAGTTTTCAGCACACTACATGTATCTGGTGATAGGTTGGAATCTTCTTCCTTCTGAAAATGTAGAGTCTTAGGAAAAAACATAACTTGTGTGTTTGTTTTTTTAAAATGAAGACCTTTCATCATTCTTATGTAAGTGAAATTCTTTATGTTTGAATAGACATTTATGAACTCCATATCAGTTTCGTCATGAATTGGAGTCTACCGTAATGGCAGCGTCAGCCATGGACATTTGCAAATGGGTAAACTTCCCACACAGAGTATTATTTAAATAATATGATAATAGTGTTTAAAAAATGCTTTTGTTTCTTGGTTTGCCCCATTGTTATAGAACTTAAGAGAAGAAAGAAGAAGGAATTTAAGAAAGAAAGGTATAAAAAAGGAATAGAAGTTGATATTAATGCATTTGATTTAAATTATAGACATGAAGAATGGTGTTGAATGTGAGTGGAATCTTGATAAATATTGAAGGAAGGACAGCTCAGTTTATCTAACTCCCAACTCTTACAAATATTCTATGAAAATTATCTTCATCCATTTTCACAATATATTTGAATTGCAATCAGAAGAAATGCTATTGTTTCTTGGTTTGCCCTGACATTATGTAACACCAGAATTATGCATTTTTCTTTATTCCAGGATAAGAGAATCATCATCTGCTAACAATCACTGTGTTATGCTACAATCTAAATATTATGCAGATAATTGTGATGATCCATATATGTACTCTTGCAAGCATAAGCTTTAAATTGAAACAACAAAAAAAAAAACTGTTTGGATTTATTTGTTTAACTTTTTATTTCAAGAAATAAGTCTTCTTATTGATTTTGTTTTTTTTTTTATTCTAATGACATTTTTTCAAAATAATTATTGAAGCACACTATGTTTAGAAAGTACAAATATCATTATTTTTGTGTCTGACATTTTTTGTTCAACATTTCATTGTGGCATTCAACCTTCAAAAAGATCATCGTTGTGTGAGTTCATTATACATAATTGCAAACTTATGGGTACAGAATGTGGATAGGGGTTGCCAAGGATTGAGAGGAAGCTGGAAAAGGTTCTGGCCACCTATTGGTTTCCTGTTTCTTTTTGAAGTGATAATAGCATTGCTAGTGTTATGGGTAATGAAGTTTGCAAACTCTGACTTTGCTAAATATCTTTGTCTTATGCACTTCAAGGATGAATTTTATGTTTTGTAAATACATCTCAATAAATTTGTTAAAAAAATTCTGGGATTATGTTTGCAACTATTTAATATTTAATTGGAAATCACTTAATATTGATTTCTTACCTGGTATTTATAAGTAAAAACCTTTATCTATCTCCATGTTTAAGTAATATGTAATGGACTTATATCTTCTCAGTTGTTTTCTCAATGGTTTATTATACTTTTACTGAGTCTTTACCATGAAAATATATTTGGTTTTTTGATGTTCTTTAACAATAATTTGTTCTTTTTTATGTGTGTGCTCTTTGTTTTCTCTCCTCTATTTCTTCTGGAGTCATTTCTCCTAATTCTGACTTTTACATTTACAGTTTCTTTGATGCATGTTCACTTTCTGCCTTTTCTAATTTTGACAGTGTATGATTTAAAGCAAAAAATATTTCACAAGACATTGTCACTTTTTTTTTCTCTCTAATTTGTATGATTGTGAACATTCATCTGGTCATGTCTATAGTTCATATGAAAAATGGAAAGGTATTACTATATTCAAAACCATGTAAGGAATACACATTTATGTTTATTGATTTCTATTTTAGGTAAATTCCAGTTAGAGGATTTTCTGTAAAGCTGGAAATGTCTTAGGTCTCTAAATATGGATAAAATGGCTAGTGTGACTGAGATATCAATCTGTAAATTGTATTTATCTCTATTTAATTTGAATGTCCACATTGCAAGAATACAAGACAAAGGTGACAGGGCATCCCCTTGTGGCGCAGGTGGTTGAGCACAGTGCTGTGAAGCTGTCTGCAGCCTCTGCAGCGCTGGTTCGATCCTGGCCAGAGAGTGAGGGTCCCACATGGCACAGCAGACCTCTCCTATCTTGCAGCTGCTCCCCTCAGCAGTATATTTCATCAGTCTGCCTGTTCTGTTCCCTGCTCTGTCTCTGGTGAATCCTCTCACCCTCCCGCGCATCTGGCCTGTACCCCATTTGTTGTATAAATAATAAATAAATCTTTAAAAATTAAAAAGACAAAGGTGATAAATGACTCTTGGAATGACACCACAAATCTATACATTTTATAATAAAATGCTTGAATTATATAGTGCATTTTCGTAAAATTATATTTATATGTGTATTTATACTGTGTGCACAGCATTTGCTTAAATATCCAATTATGATTGTTCACTGCATTTTTCTCAAATCTATATTCAACTTAGAAGTTACATACAGATTTAAAAATATTGCTAATGGCATTGATACTGTATTCAGCATTCTGAAACCTGCTTATTATTTCCACCAATGATTCTTTCTACAGGTTTGTTTGGGAAGATATATTTTTTCATTATTTTGCTCTCATAATGCTTTACATATTTGTAAAGTATTAATTCATTATTCATCAAATAACAGTTTTATATAAAACAGTCTATATATTTCCATTGAAAATGTATCTATTTATAGTTAACCTAATTATTAAATTATATAATGTAAGCATTATATTGGTAAATACATACATAAAACTCTCGACTATAGTGTAATTATCATTTACTTTGGGGGGGCCTCCTCTGGTGGAGCAGCGGTTGAGCGCTGGGCTGTTAAGCTGCCACAGCCTCTGCTGGATCACCGGCTGGATAGCAA